CCCCATCATTTTTTTTTTCTCCAGACTTTAAGGGAGTATTTCATAGATCTTGAATGTTCACAAACTTATAAAATTTTCACTATGCAAAATAATATGGGGTGTGAGATACAGGTGAATAGATGTATAAAACATGCATAAAATGATAGATAGCAAGTTTAGGGTGGTGGCTGCTTCTGGGAGGAGGGTATAGAATCAGGGAAAGTGTCTTTGGTGGAACCTGAAAAGTTGTGTTTCTAAAAAATAAAAAGGTTAAAGCAAACACAGAAAAATCTTAAGATTTGGCACTGCTTAGTGGTAGGTATACACATAATTACTATTTTCTCTACATTTTTGTTTGCTTGATATATTTCATAATAAAAAGATAAGGCTGGGCGGCACCTGTGGCTCTGTGGGTAGGGCACAGGTCCTCAGGACCTCAGCCTGCCAAGTAGCTGGGACTACAGGCACCCACCACAATATCTGACTAGTTTTTCTATTTTTTAGTAGAGATGGGTGGAGGGGGTGGGGTGGGGTCTGGCTTATGTTTAGGTTGATCTCATGAACTCCTGAGCTCATGCAATCCACTGCTGGGCCTAGGAAAGTTCTTTTTAAAAAGAACTCCTTGAGGCTCGGTGCCTGTACCTCAAACAGCTAGGGCACCAGCCACATCCACCAGAGCTGGCGGGTTTGAATCCAGCCCGGTCCGCCAAACAATGACAACTATAACCAAAAAATAGCCGGATGTTGTGGCGGGCACCTGTAGTCCCAGCTACTTGGGAGGCTGAGGCAAGAGAATCACTTAAGCCCGAGAGTTGGAGGTTGCTGTGAGCTGTGATGCACCCTACCCAGGGCAACAGCTTGAGACTCTGTCTTTAAAAAAAAAAAAAAAAAAAAAAAACTACTTGAGATGGCTCATGCCTGTAATCTTAGCACTCTGGGAGGGCGAAGCAGGTGGATTGCTTGAGCTCAGGAGTTTGAGACCAGCCTGAGCAGGAGTGAGACCCCGTCTCTACTAAAAATAGAAAAATCAGATGTATGTTGTGGTGAGCTCCTATAGTCCCAGCTACTTGGGAGGCTGAGGCAAGAGGATGGCTTAAGCCCAAGATTTTGAGGTGGTTGTGAGCTATGACACAAGGGCACTTTACCCAGGGTGAGACTGTCTCAAAAATAAAACAATATAAAATAAGATAAAATGAAATTTAAAAAGCTCTCTTAGCATCTGAGAAAACAAACATAGAGTGTAAACTTGCATATATTCACTGCTATATGACAGATTTACAATTAATTCAAGTTGTAGATTTCAAACCAACCTATTGCTTCCTCCCATGAGCTTTGTGTAGTAAGGAAAGAGGAGATGAGGTGGTAACTTAATGAAAGGCTGAGCGAAGGGTTAAACTGAAGTCGGGGAGTGGATGATGAAATTAAACCTTTTGGAAAATTAAGAAACAATACAGTTAAAGGTTCCACTCAGGAAAAACTTAAATTACTAATAATTTTGGTAATATAGTTCAGTTAATACTCTCAGAAGACTCTCCTCATTTATCAAGTCTTGGAGTGGGAGGAGAAAAAGACTTAGCTGAACCTTTAATACCAGTATCACTCCCGGGACGGTGAATGGAAGGGCAGAACTTCTGTTTCATCATAAACTTGTATGTATTAGTGCCTAAAGCATTTTTCTTATTCCCAATATTAAACACTTGAAAAAAAAAGTAGTCAAGTAGAATAAAAAGTTAAATTTCTTAATTTCCATTTCTCAAGCAATAAATAAAATTCATTTTCTTCAAAGGGTTCATTTCAGGGATCACAAACTCATGTGACATCAGGGACTGGGCATTTATATTTATGCTAAATAAATACAGATTAAAAAATAATTTTGTGATAAACAAGCTTGCGGGCTGAATTTGGCCTGTGGGCCACTAACTCTGAAATTTTTCTGATGTTTTTATTGAGATATAATTCAGGCTCGGC